TGGCTCCACACTGGGTTGAAATGCTATCTTGTTGCCATCTATGACCCAGGTTGTAATAGAGTCCTGTTCTACCAAGTGTGAACCTGGAACATCCCTTTTCTGTGAGAACCACACCAGTACTGTGTTCTGTTCCCCAGGGACAAATATATTGTCACATCAATTCTCCTGGAAATGATGTTTTGAATTATTTCTTATAGTACCAGATGCTTTTTCCTTTGTATATTATCAGTACTCTCCTGAGCTTCAAGATTAAATATGAGCCTCAAATCTTATGTGCCACAGACCCTGAGATCAGGACCTAGACTTACTGCAGCTGTGACTATATCTGCCCTAGTTTGAATGATGCTACAACTTCCTGTGGTCCACACATATTTTGACCCTTTCTAAATAGCCCAAAATTCTCAATTACGTTGCACATAATGTCCATAATCAGAACACTCACCAAAAAATTTCAGAAGAAACTGCTTTCTTTTTATCTGAAATGTGCTATCCATATTCTTTATTACAAGGAATACCAAGCAAACCAACCAAAACCAAGCCAAGCCAAGCAAGCAAGCAAGCAACCAACCAACCAACAATCGCAAATGAAGACCAAACCCTGCCTAGATACAGTTTCCTTCCTAGCCATACTGGAACATTCATTACTAGAAGAATTACTTCAAATGGGAAGATCAGAATGTAGTAAATATGTGGGAACTGGAATAACCTAGTAAATATGATGGATGGTGGCTTTCCCAGGGAGGCTTTGACATGATTGTAATTGTATCTGGGGATAAGAACTCATCAGAGTGCCGTGATTAGAGGCATGACACACAATGCCTCACTTAGAAGAGAAACTCTAAATTTGCAACTCCATCAGATCTGATGTTTTGTGTGTTTGTGGGGCATTTCCTTGATGAATTAATGGATGTAGGAGGACCCAACTCCTGGTGGTGAGTGCACGCCCTAGGAATGTAGTCCTGGGTAAGAAATCAGGGGGAGATACAGCTGTAGAGAACAAGTCTGTTTGCAGTGTTCCTTCACAATTTCTTCTTCAATTCCTGCCCTTGCTTCCCTTGATGATGGACTGTAACCTGGAGTCAATTAATTCCTCTCCATTCTCTAGTTGCATTTGGTTAGTTTTGATCCTGTCAACAGAGAAACAAGCTAAAGCAATGCACACATTACTTCTTAGGTGCTATGACATCAGAGAAGTATAATTTTCAAGGCTACTTATGCTAAAATACCTCCTTTAGTGTATGACTTTTCCTAGGAAGAGAGAAAGAAATGTCTATTTACTCCAGAGAGGGCACCAATGGCATATTAGTGATTCTATTCTCGTTCATTTTAATGAGTCGGCGAATTTAATATGTTTTCATTAGAACCTTTTATTGCCATCTGTCATCCCCTTCAGGCAGGCACTCACATGAGGATAGGTTAGCAAACTTAGACTACACTTGGTTTGGGTTTTATAAGCACTCTTCTTCTGACAATGCAGTGATCAACCTAGGACCTTCACCTGCATGTATTATACATGGAAATTCCAGTCTTAGCAATGAACCTGACATTCAGGCACACATCCCTACCTGAGGTGCCTGTGTACCCACTATAGACAAAGGATAGCATTCCTTGTGTCCAAAGGCCTACCAATACGTACCCTCTTGTCCCTAGTTTCTATTCACATATAACTGGGTATGAGATTGACGGGGCTGATCACATGGACAGCCTCACATCCATAGTCAGCACCCAGTGTAAGGACAAGACAACCAGTCCTTCTCACGTAATGTTTGGCTCCTCTGGTGCCTGTTCTAGGCATAATCTGTAAGATTTTTGCTGAGAGACACAGACAAATGTCTTTTTTACTTCATCTAGACATGGGTACATGACCAAAGAACAGTGTCTTCCTAGTCTAGATTTGGGAATAAATGAATTTATTAGGGTGAAGGGTACTTACAGGATCACCAAACACTCAGAGGCAGCTGCATCACTGAAAAGCCCACCCTAGCAATGCAATGATTCTCCACAGCTCAGTCTTGGAGCCCCCTGCACGATTAGCAGGAATCTCAGCTTCTCTGAACCACCTTCCTACCATTCTTCTTATTGCTTATTAACTTTGAGGACAGCATCATGCATCTTTGAATTTTCTGTATTTTCCAAGGCTTGTAGTGAATCTTATTTCATATTTAAAATGTGTCTCTCTATATGGTGTACATTTTCATATTACTGTGGTCTGTCAGGCTTATGTTAGACTTCCACCTGAATTGCTTTCTATCTTTTTCGTCAAGTCAGACTCACTCTGGCGATCCTAGAGCTTCCAAATCTCTACAGTCTAGCTTGCTAGCTTACTTCATGTCCCCCACCCTTGCCACCAGAGTTTAGAAATAAAAGGTGGCTGCCACACCCTCTCAACATTTATATGGGTTCTGGAAATTGAGCTCTGCTCCTTCTATGTGCGTGGCATGACAAGTACTTGCTGCACAGTGTGTGTGTGTGTGTGTGTGTGTATACACTAGTGCCTTCCTGTGTTGAGTCTATTGGTCTAAGTTGATTGTCTTCCTTAAGTAACAACTCCTCCATCATTTTAGAGACAGCTTTTCAGTAAACCCTGAGTGTTCCAGTTTTCTAAACAATCTTGCCAGTGAAAAATACATATAGATATCCACTGAACAGAGTATAACATTCCTGGTTTTTCTATTGCTTATCTGTGCACAATGACCTCATGCTCTTGGCAATAACTGCCAGAATTTGTGATTGTCTTAGAATGCTCTTAATATTCTACCGAATTTAAAAGATAGCTTTGTTGATATAGTAATTTTAACTGGTAATTATTTTCATTTAGGCTTTGAAATACATGGTTCCTCATTTTTTGACACTTATGGTTGCTTATGAGAGATTTGATGTAATTTTGACACATTTGCCTTCTTGAATTGGCACTTTTCTTTTTATGATTTTTAATGTATTCATTTGTACCTTTTTGTGTATGGCCTTGATACAACAATATTCTCCTTTTGGGAGAATCAAGCAATGTCTACCCTCTTCTCATAAGGTCCCAACAAAAAATAAAGTTTGATTCCACCCAAGTTCACCCTGAGTTAAAATTTCAGTAAAGTGGCACAATACAAAGGTGACACACACACACACACACACACACACACACACGCACACGCACACACACCCACACACCCACACCTCCCCCCCCCACAGACACACAGATACAGACACCAGAAAACACTAGCCTTTTTCTATATCAAATAGAAAAAAATAGAAATATAAACTGGGGAAACAATGCCATCATATTACCTTTGAAAAACGAAATGAAGAAAAAGAAATTCTATGAAATAAATATAAGCAAGGACATGAAATACCTTACAATAAAAGTAAAACATCTGAGAAAGACATTACAGAAGACACTGAGAGATAGAAAAATTTCCCCATGCTCATGTCTTAGAAGAAGAAGTTTTAATGCCGGGCGGTGGTGGCACACGCCTTTAATCCCAGCACTCGGGAGGCAGAGGCAGGCGGATCTCTGTGAGTTCGAGACTGGGCTGGACCAATAGCCTCCAAAACAATACAGAGAAACCATGTCTCGTAAACAAAAAAAAAAAAAAAGAAGAAGAAGAAGAAGTTTTGTGAAAATGATTTTTTTTATTGGAAGCAATCTATTGAGTCAATGCCATCCCAATGACAATTCTTTTGTCTTGCTTCCTAGAGACAGAAAAACATCTTAGAATTCAATGGAAGTACAGGGAAATCCTGACAGTCAAAGTAATCCTGAATAAAAAGCGCATTGTTGGAGGTATTGCCCTGCCTGTTTTCAAGTTACACTGCAGAGCAATATTTATAAAGACAGCATGGTACTGACACAGAAGCAGACTCACAGGTCTATATTATAGAGCAGAGGAGCCATCACCAAGGACACGCACCTACAGCTATCTGATTTTCCACAAAGACACAAAAGAAATATCAAATGGAGAAAAGTTCATCTTCAACACTCAGAGCTGGGAAACTGGACAGCTTCATGTAGAAAAACAAAATTAGATTCTTAGATCTCATTGTGCACAAAACTTCTCCAATTAGACCATGACTTCAAGATAAGTCTGGACCCTGCAAATTTATTAGTAAAAGCAGGGAGTCCACTTAAGAGCAGGGGAATAGGCAAGGATTTTCTGGATCAAATTCTGATCCTCAGCAAACAAAGGCAATAATCAGTAAATGGGATCTCATGAAATAAAAATATTTTGTTTAAAAAAATTATCCGGGAAAGAAGAAATACCCCACAAAACGGGAGAAAACCTTTGCTTGCTATAAATCTGATAGAGGATTAGCTAGAATGTATAAGGTATTTAAAAAAGTAAATACTAGGAAAACAAACAACCCAATAAAAATGGACCAGGGAACTGAATGAAGAATTCTCAAAAAAAAAAAAAAAAAGAAAAAAGAAAAAAGAAAGCAAGAAAGATGTCTAATTAGCGTTTGAAAAAGTGTGCAACACCATTGGCCACCAGAGATATGCAAATTGAAACTCCTAAGGGACTGCAGACATAATGCCTGCCTCCCCATGTGGAGCTGCTTTCTATCCCTCCTTCCTTTTATGCATTTGAGAGGTAAGTCTACCTAGTCCTGCTGGTCCTGTGCAGTCCACAGTCAGGTCAGCATCCTCTGGGCAGCCAGAGCATCTCCACTGTGCTAACTGCCTTGTTCAGGCTCACCGTGGCTGGAGTGTGAGATGCCTCTGCAGGTCCCAGACACAAGCCTGAGTTGTTGAGTCAGATGCCCTGAACCTCATGGTGGAAGGATAACAGCAACTACACAAGTTGTCCTCTGGCCTCCACATCCTCCTGTAAGTTAAATAAGATAAATGCTTCAAAAGAAAGAATTGCAAATGTCCTCAAGGGATTCACATTAATTCTGATTAACGACTTAAAAATATGTGACTATTGGTTTGCTACATACAAGTATGTCGAACAGTGAAGAACAAATTTCATTTATATTATCTGTCAGAATGATGACAATATGTAACATACTTTTCATAATTTCTTTATTGGAAGGACAGATATGGCAATTAAATTAAATTATATGAGAATTCCTTAATAGTTAAATTATTGGTTTATTTGCTTATTTAAATCTAAAAGCTAGTACAATGTGAGGTATGTAGTTTAGTGATAAAATGCTTGTCTATCATGTATAAAGCCTGTATTGGAGGCCTAGTCTCACAAATAATTTTATAAACAGGCTATTGTAGAACTAACTATTTGTCAATAATTATGTGTTTTATAGTAAAATTAAAAAATCTGAATTTAAACCCTATTTGAAGATTACACCTTATTCCATTCCCAAAGCCCAAGATAAAACAAAACAAAACAAATGACAACAAATCCTGTCATGGACATGAGGAAAGAGTAGCACTTATCCATGGTCCTTAGCTGTGTGTGACTTAAGTTTGAACAAGCTTTTGAATACATCTCTCTGAGGAGAACTTTGGCATCTTCAGTCACTGTGTCAAGGAAAAGAAGGTGAAGGTAAAAGGTTTTCCTAAAGTAAAGTCCTGTAGCAAGGAGCCCACCATTAACTGAGGCAAATTTCTCCAAATATTTCAAAAGATTCCCCTCTAATGTTTCTGTTTCCTTAGTTTCCAACAAATAAGGAGACTTAATGAGTTTTTTCAGTTGTTCAATAGGCACTTGGGAATTCTTAGCCATGACTTCCAGGGATTCATCATCCACTCCGAAGAGGACTCGATAGTGGTCTAACTTCACCTTCAGCTTCTCCACATCATCCCTGAGGATTCCCACGGCAGGAACAGTAGCCAGCAGTCCAGCCTTGAAGGCTTCCAGCCAGATAGTCTGCTGCATAGACTTTCGTTTTCTGTCAATGGCTGCCTCTGTAATTTTGGACAAGGAAATCATAAAATTGTGGCGCTTCTGAGCAGGAAGATCCTTTACCAGGGTCTTCATCAGGCGTGGAAAATCGTAGCCAGATAAATTTCTGCTAGAAATGAAGAAAATCTGTGGTGCATCCATGCCATTTGCCTTCAAGGTATTAATGTAGGAGTTTTGGATCTTCTCCAGGAACTTCTCTCTGTCAAATGTACGTGGCTTCGAGTTTTTTTCATTTTCTAAATCAATGTCTATCTTGGTTCTCACCAAATAGTAATTCTTTTTCATGAATCTTATTGCTTTGGCAAGGTCAAGTTCAAGTTTTGTAAAACGTGTGGCAGAAACAATAATGAAGAAGTCATACTCTTGGAATTTCACTTTCTCCAGATACTCTTTTGGTGGAAAATTCATAGTTCCAATGCCAGGCAGGTCCCACAAAGTCAAAGTTTTAATTTTGGGGTGTTTGTATGGAGTTCTCTCCATAGTCGTCTCCACTACTCCAACTTCAGCTGCACCTTTGTCTTCAGGTCCAACCTCCCTCAGGGCATTGATGAAGCTGGACTTCCCTGCCCCAGACTCTCCTGTCACAGCAATGCTTATGGGGGCCTCATCAATATTTTTTAATGCCTTACTAATTAAAGAGTTTGCCCCCTGGATGTTTCCTTTTTTCAGATGAAATTCTATTAAACTGATATTTTCCTTAGAAATGATTTCCTTTTCTCTATCCATCCTCTTTAAATAGGCAGTGAAGCAGGACTTCAAATCTTCAAGACCTCCATTCTTAGATGTATCATAAGAGCACTGACCCAGGATTAGGATTTTTAAAAAAATCACTGAAAGAAGGAAATGAGAGTCAGTTGCAAGAGATCAACGATGCATGTGTCCTTAGCACTGTGTTCCGTCACTGTGCTGCAGCCTTAGTTACATTTTGATATTCACTAGTTCCCATATATTTTGTGCTGTTTTTTTCAACCAGATACAAACTATAGTCATTTTGAAGGAGAACGTCTCATTTGAGGAGTTGCTCCCATTCCATAATGGAACATTTTGTTGACTGAGGTTTGATGTGGGAGGCCCCAGTCCACTGTTGGTGGTACCAACCTTAGTCTGGTGGTCCTGGGTAATTTAATAAGGCATTATCAAATTATGATGAGCAAGCCAGTAAACAGCATTCTCCCATTTTTCCTTCCTCTTCTCCTGCCCTGACTTCACTCAGAGATGGATTGTTATCAGAATGTGTAAGCCCACAAAATCATTTTCTATTCAAATTGTATTTTGGTCATGGTGTTTATAGAAGCAATAGAAAGGAAACTCAATATAAAGGAAACTAGAGCAAATTTCTACTAGCTCTCAATTAAACCCTTCATTAGGGAGAATGAAAACTCAATATAAATAAGAGAAAATAATATAAAATTGTGCATGACTCCTTAGCCAGCCTTAGCAACTACAAAAACATGAACAACTATTTCGCCTTTACCCTGACTACAATATTGTAGTTCATATCTAAGATGTCATCTCAATCTGTGCACACTTCCTTCAGTAGGTGCCTTCAAATGAATGAAACTTAACATAGTCCAGCTTTGTACATTGAGAAATCAAAAATACCGAATATTAACTGACATTAGTGTTTAATTAAAGCCAAATCTCTCTAGTTACTACTTAAATATACTTTGTTTTATTTATGGTTTCAAAAGATTTCAGTAAGTTCAACTGTTGTCTTTTGTTGAAATAATTCTGTAGTTGCCTAAGTTTACTTTCCTTACGTCCTTTTCATGATTTGGAGCTCATCTCCATGAAGAATATAAGCTTGCAATAATATGAAAGTTCTTTACCTTTAAAGTTCATGTTAAAATCTATTTCTTCAGTGCAATATTTCAGTGTTTTCATTTACATTCACTATTTTCTTTTAAGCATTTTATTTTATGAAAACAATCTAACTGTGCAGCAGAGATATTGGTCAATTGGTAGATAGCTTTCCCACCATAAATAAGACCCTGGCTTCAATCCCAACACCTTATCAAATACATCTGTTTGTGTATCCCTGTAATTCTTCTTCTCAAGAAGTAGAGCTAGGAGGGTCATTAGGTCAACATCATCATAGTTCACAGTGGGTTAGAGGCTAGCATGGGCTTCTTGAGACCCTGTATCAAAAAAATTAATATCGAGTCCAGTAAGATGTCTCAGCAGGTAAATATACATGCTGCTATGCCTAAGACCCTGAGTTTGATTGTTGCGTATTTCACTAATTCATATCTCACATTTCTAACTTTATTGGGCAGTACAGTGGACCTCATCATTATTTAAGGAAACCACAAATTTTTATTGTCACCCTGGAGTCTCCTCTGTCTTTCTCACCCATATCAAATCTGCTCACAGACTTAAGCTCAATTTCCCAATCCAGTCACAACTGATAATTCCAACTACATTATCTTCAAGATCTCCTCCATCCCACCTTTTGTGTCGTTGACATTACTATACTTCCTGTGACAGTTTTTACAATAACATGGATGATTAAACTGCCAGAGTATCCTATTTTCTCTGAAATCATATCATGCCAAGTCAATCATGAGAGGCACCATAAGGATTCCCATTTCAGTCAATGACCATTCATCAGGTATTCAGTGCACACACCACATACAATAAACCTTTGAACTTTATAATCACATGTATGAAGCCAATGGTGTCTGAATTGTCACTTCCCTGTTATCGCAGGCTGTCTTCTCATCTCAGGACTTAGTACTTAGTGACTTCTTCCATTCTTTGTGCTCTCCCCCAGTAGCCACAGCTTATTAAATCACTTTTCTCTAGGCTCTGATTTAGGATTTATATTCATATTGAGATATGAATATGAACCTACATCTATCATTCACCATTTTTTATTATTTCAGATACAACAACCTCATACACACTGCAGATATATGCCCTTTCCTGAATCATCTCTTTACAACCATTTTAGGGAAAGGCATAAAAGACAGGCAAAAACAACTGATGTTTGGTTTTTGTTTGTTTGTTTCCAAATCCAATATCAAGATCCTTGGCTTTAGATTTATCTCAACTTGGGTAATTGCCTAAGACCATACACAATGCTGTCCTGACTGCCTCACACCAAAGCAAAGCTCCTGACTTTCCAAACAGAAGATCTCCACCTTCAGGCATGTTCCTAGACGTCTTGCTACCTCTCAGTTCTTATGAATATCGAGATGGTGCTTGTTTGAAGTTAGATCTGACTGCTCCTGCCCACTTACCAGATTATCCTGGGTCTGGTGTCTGGGTTCACTGTGGTTCAGCTGCAGGAATCACGCTCCTGTGTGCTTCAGTCTCTTCACTTGCAGCCCACCCCTGCTTCTTCGTGGAAAAGCAGCAGGATGGAGGCAGTTGTGCAGAATTTGTGCACTCTCTGAAGTCTGCCCTTTCCTTCTAAGTATGTGTTGGCCAGTCCCTAAACTTCACGGATCTTGTTGTTTTCTGAGAATTTCTTGCATTTCCAAGAAGAAGAAAGTGAAAATGAAACTATCAGCTATTTCTCATTCTAGTACCTCTTTATTTCTTGGTAGTGAATGCTGAACAGTTCTAAAATAATGATGTATGTGGAATGTGGAGTTTGGAAACTGAGGGGGAACACAGAGGAGTATCTACTAGATAGGCAGGAATCCAATTCTTGAATGATAATTTTTCTGATAACAGACTTCACAAATGCTGCCTGAGTGATCACACAACACATTGTCTGCGGTCCTTTGGAGATGCCAAATTTATTCTCATTCAAGACACAACTCATTTTACTTCCCTATGACTACAACCTGATTTTCTAGTGATTGCAAATTCATGTTCTTTAATTCTTGTCATTCTCAACATCCTGTTTATGCTGGTTTTCATTAGAGCTTGGGCTTGACAGGTCTTATAGATGTTGTCACAAGCATGGTGTGCTCACATGTGGAACTGCCCTATTGTGTCCAGAAGACATTGTTTCCCTGGCACCATCCAGCAACCCCGCCTCTGACAGTCTTTTCAGCCAGTCTTCCACAACCATTCCTGTGCCTTTAAAGGTAGAATTGACATCTTCCATTTAGGGACGATTATTCTTCATATAGTATTCTCTGAATCTTGGCGAACTGTGTCACTGGATTAATTATCATCTATTGCAAACCTTTATCATAAAGGGATATTAAATTCTTTAAAAGGCTTTTTCAGCATCTAGTGAGATGATGATGTACCTTTTCTTTTTAAGTTTGTTTATATGATGAATTACATTGAGGGATCGTTATATGTTGACCCATCCCTGCATTTCTGGGATGAATCGTACTTGGCAATGCTGGATGAATTTTCTGATGTGTTCTTGGATTCGATTTGCCAGTATTTTATTGAATATTTTTGTATCTATGTTTGTGAAGGAAATTAGTCTGTAATTCTCTTATCTGTGTCTTTGGGTGTTTTTTGGTGTCAGGGTAACTGCAGTCTCATAATAAGAGTTTGGCAATATTCCTTCTGTTTCTATTATGTGGAATAATTGAGGATTATTGGTATTAGATGTTCCTTACATATCTGATAGAATTCTGCACTGAGTGTATCTGGCCCTGAGCATTTTTTGGTTGGGACACAATTGATAACTGTTTCTATTTCCTTATTTGTTATATGTGTATTTGGTTTGTTTATCTGTTCTTGATTAATTTTTGTTACCTCACTCAGAAGGATGCTTCTAGCTCCATCCATTTTCCCATTAATTTTGTAGCTTTATTTTGATTAACAAAATAGAAATATTCACTTCTGTAGTGGTGTCACATTGTCATTATCCTTTCCGCAGTAGATGGCTGTCTAGACTGTTCCAATTTCCCAGGTGTTGTGACTAGAACATGAGTGAATACGGATGAAAAAGTAGCTTTTTAGGTGGATATAGAGTTCTTTGTGAATATTCCCTTGAGTGACACAGTTGGATTTTGAGGTGAATCTATTTTCACTGTCTGTTAAGCTTCCACACAAATTACCTTAGTGGTTGTACCAGTTTTTCCTCCCACCCACAGGGACTCAGTGTTCTCCTTTCCATGCATCCACAGGGCTTGGAAACCTTTGTAATTTTGGGCAACAGTCCACAGCTTATTGACCCTGTGTGCATATTAAGCAGCCTTCTGCGGATGGATATTGAGAGGAGCATAAGCGCCCAACTCCTGTCTTGGTCTCCAGTACTTTGTGTGCTTGCTTGTTGCCACAGTCAGGATGTGCATGGACTGACCCTCTGACTTTCTAATCCAGCACTCAATTAAATGTTTTCCTTTATGTGTTTCCTTAGTCATGCGGTCTCTTCACAATCAAAGATAAAAATCTAAAATACCAATTTCAAGTTATAGTAGTAAAAATATCATGACCCTACCACAAACTGCACAATAATCAATGAAGGAGTTCTCAGGGACCTAGGTGTAAATCTACATACATATAATCACCTGATTTTTGACATGTAAGTCAAAGATAAATGCTGGAGGACAGACAGCATCTCCAAGATAGTGTGCTGAAAACTTGACATGTAACACGTAGAAAAGGAGAATTGATTGTTATCATTAACCTTGTCCAAATATCAGTTTCAAATTAATCCAAGACTTCAAGGTTACATCAAAATTCTGAACCTTCTATTGCAACTTATAAGGAGTACATTTCATAACATAGGTTCCATTAAGTCATTTTTTATAGAACCCTCTTCATATAGGAAATGGTGTCATCAATCTCTAAACAATACAGGCTATTACTATTATTCTTGATTCAGCAGAATGTGATGGTAAGATTCTATCTCTGAAGACACCACACATTTTGGTGATAGAACTTGGAGCACTGTTGGGACTGTCCAGAAAGCTTCCTGTTTTCTGGCTATCACTGACAGTCCTGGAGGGTGCTATGCAGGCTGTTGAGGGAGAAAGTTCATCAGCATTCTTTTCTGAGTGACCTCTGGCTTTTTCAAAGACCAGGCCCTATGGGAAAAATGCTTGACTTCCTCTTCTGCATAATTTTGGCATCTAAACCTTGATCACCGTCCCATGATCAAGGACCCAAGGCCCAACTATGACATTGCCAGCTCACATTCCTCTACATTATACTTGGGTTTGCAAAGTGAGGGCCAAGTACCTTTACTCCAGGGTACAGAGCGACTAATGCTGCATGGCTCCACACTGGGTTGAAATGCTATCTTGTTGCCATCTATGACCCAGGTTGTAATAGAGTCCTGTTCTACCAAGTGTGAACCTGGAACATCCCTTTTCTGTGAGAACCACACCAGTACTGTGTTCTGTTCCCCAGGGACAAATATATTGTCACATCAATTCTCCTGGAAATGATGTTTTGAATTATTTCTTATAGTACCAGATGCTTTTTCCTTTGTATGTTATCAGTACTCTCCTGAGCTTCAAGATTAAATATGAGCCTCAAATCTTATGTGCCACAGACCCTGAGATCAGGACCTAGACTTACTGCAACTGTGACTATATCTGCCCTAGTTTGAATGATGCTACAACTTCCTGTGGTCCACACATATTTTGACCCTTTCTAAATAGCCCAAAATTCTCAATTACGTTGCACATAATGTCCATAATCAGAACACTCACCAAAAATTTTCAGAAGAAACTGCTTTCTTTTTATCTGAAATGTGCTATCCATATTCTTTATTACAAGGAATACCAAGCAAACCAACCAAAACCAAGCCAAGCCAAGCAAGCAAGCAACCAACCAACCAACCAACAATCGCAAATGAAGACCAAACCCTGCCTAGATACTCTTTCCTTCCTAGGTATACTAGAACTTTCATTACTAGAAGAATTATTGAAATTGAGAAGAACAGAATGTAGTAAATATATAGGTAACTGGAATAACCTAGGAAATATGATGGTGGCTTTCCCAGGGAGGCTTTGACATGATTGTAATTGTATCTGAGGATAAGAACTCATCAGAGTGCCGTGATTAGAGGCATGACGCACATTGCCTCACTTAGAAGAGAAACTCTAAATTTGCAACTCCATCAGATCTGATGTTTTGTGTGTTTGTGGGGCATTTTCTTGATGAATTAATGGATGTAGCAGGACCCAACTCATGGTGGTGAGTGCACACCCTAGGAATGTAGTCCTGGGTAAGAAATCAGGGAGAGATACAGCTGTAGAGAACAAGTCCGTTTGCAGTGTTCCTTCACAATTTCTTCTTCAATTCCTGCCCTTGCTTCCCTTGATGATGGACTGTAACCTGGAGTCAATTAATTCCTCTCCTTTCTCAAGTTGCATTTGGTTAGTTTTGATCCTGTCAACAGAGAAACAAGAAGTTTTGTGAAAATGTTTTTTTATTGGAAGCAATCTATTGAGTCAATGCCATCCCAATGACAATTCTTTTGCCTTGCTTCCTAGAGACAGAAAAACATCTTAGAATTCAAAGGAAGTACAGGGAAATCCTGACAGTCAAAGTAATCCTGAATAAAAAGCGCATTGTTGGAGGTATTGCCCTGCCTGTTTTCAAGTTACACTGCAGAGCAATATTTATAAAGACAGCATGGTACTGACACAGAAGCAGACTCACAGGTCTATATTATAGAGCAGAGGAGCCATCACCAAGGACATACACCTACAGCTATCTGATTTTCCACAAAGACACAAAAGAAAAATAAAATGGAGAAAAGTTCATCTTCAACACTCAGAGCTGGGAAACCGGACAGCTTCATGTAGAAAAACAAAATTAGATTCTTAGATCTCATTGTGCACAAAACTTCTACAATTAGACCATGACTTCAAGATAAGTCTGGACCCTGCAAATTTATTAGTAAAAGCAGGGAGTCCACTTAAGAGCAGGGGGATTGGCAAGGATTTTCTGGATCAAATTCTGAGCCTCAGCAAATAAGGGCAATAATCAGTAAGTGGGAGCTCAGGAAATAAAAATATTTTGTTTAAAAAGAAAATTATCAGGCAAAGAAGAAATACCACACAAAATGGGAGAAAACCTTTGCCAGCTATAAATCTGATAGAGGATTAGCTAGAATGTATAAGGTATTTAAAAAAGTAAATACTAGGAAAACAAACAACCCAATAAAAATGGACCAGGGAACTGAATGAAGAATTCCCTACAAAAAAAAAGCAAGAAAGATGTCTAATTAGCGTTTGAAAAAGTGTGCAACACCATTGGCCACCAGAGATATGCAAATTGAAACTCCTAAGGGACTGCAGACATAATGCCTGCCTCCCCATGTGGAGCTGCTTTCTATCCCTCCTTCCTTTTATGCATTTGAGAGGTAAGTCTACCTAGTCCAGCTGGTCCTGTGCAGCCCACAGTCAGGTCAGCATCCTCTGGGCAGCCAGAGCATCTCCACTGTGCTAACTGCCTTGTCCAGGCTCACCCTGGCTGGAATGTGAGATGCCTCTGCAGGTCCCAGACACAAGCCTGAGTTGTTGAGTCAGATGCCCTGAACCTCATGGTGGAAGGATAACAGCAACTACACAAGTTGTCCTCTGGCCTCCACATCCTCCTTTAAGTTAAATAAGATAAATGCTTCAAAAGAAAGAATTACAAATGTCCTCAAGGTATTCACATTAATTCTGATTACTATTAACGACTTAAAAAATATGTGACTATTGGTTTGCTACATACAAGTATGTCGAACAGTGAAGAACATATTTCATTTATATTATCTGCCAGAATGATGACAATATGTAACATACTTTTTATAACTTTTTATTGGAAGGACAGATATGGCAATTAAATTAAATTACATGAGAATTCCTTAGTAGTTAAATTATTGGTTTGCTTATTTAAATCTAAAAGCTAGCACAATGTGAGATGTGTAGTTTAGTGATAAAATGCTTGTCTATCATGTATAAAGCCTGGATTGGAGCCCTACTCCCACAAATAATTTTATAAATAGGCTATTGTAGAACTAACTATTTGTCAAAAAATTTATGTGTTTTTACAGTAAAATTAAAATAATCTGAATATTAAAACTTATTTGATGATTACACCTTATTCCATTCCCAAAGCCCAAGATAAAACAAAACAAAACAAATGACAACAAATCCTGTCATGGACATGAGGAAAGAGTAGCAGTTATCCATGGTCATTAGCTGTGTGTGACTTAAGTTTGAAATAGTTTTTGAATACATCTCTCTGAGGAGTATACCTATGGGTCACTTTGTATATTGGTGATTGATGTGGGAGGACCCAGTCCACTATGGGTGTCATGCCCCTTCGCAGGTGGTCCTGGGAATTTAAGACAGTATTATTGAACTTTAGTTGGACTTTTTCATTGGGACTGACAGCTCCACAATGATAACATGAAGATTTTTATTAATTATAAAAGCTCAACCAATATATTAGGCTTGTTTCTAACTAGCTCTTATAAATTAAATTATTCCAGATTTTTCATCTACATCCTTTTATGTGACTAAGTTACATTTACTCTCTACTGAAATGCTGCTTCCTCTTTGACTGCTGGTGACTCTGCTTTTATTACTCCTAGAGTTCTCTGTCTCACTGTCTTGCCTATCTCTCATGCATGCATAGTACCTGTTTAGCGCTTTTTTAAACCCATCAGAAGGTGCCTTGCAATGACTCATCTTCATATTTTACAAAAGATTATGCTACAACATTGAACTATGGGGAGCAAGCCAGTAAAAACCATTCTCCCATTGTTCCTGACTCTATTCCTGCAGAGTTTCTGCCCTGATTCCCTCAGTGATGGACTGTAATCAGAATATGTAAGCCCACAAAATTATTTTCTTTTAAAAGTGCTTTTGGTCATGGTGTTTATAAAAGCAATGGAAAGGCACTGGAACAAATTTCTATTAGCTCTCAATTAAATCCTTCATTATGGAAAATGAACTTAAGTAATGCAAGGAAAAATAATATAAAACCTGCATGAGTCCTTTAGCCATCACCAGCAAGTATAAAACCATGAACAACTCTGTTGCATCTAACCTGCCTAGAGTATTGTATGTGACATCAAATGTCTGCTCCATCAGTGTACACTTCCTTAAGTGTCTGCCTTCAAATGCATAGAAACTCAGTCAACATAAACCTACTTTTACACACTGAAATATATATTTATATATATCTATATTTATAGATACTTTATATCAATATTTAATGAATGCCAAATCTCTCATGATCACATAAATCTAATTTGTTTTATTTTTCAAAAGATTTCAGTAAGTTCAGCTACTGTGTTTTAATTATTATTGTGAAATAATTCTGTATTTGCCAAGATTTACTTTCTTTATGTCCTTATCATGACTTGGAGCTCATCTCCATGGCCACGCAACAATATAAAAGTTCTTTGCCTTGAAAGCCCATGTTCAAATCCATTTCTTCAATACAACATTTCAGTGTTCTCAAGTAATTATTTAGGCTCAGTATTTTCTTTTAAATGTTTTATTTTATGAAAGCAATCTAACTTTGCATTGGAGGCATGGCCAGTTGGTAGAGAGCTTTCCTAACATGAAGAAGCTATTGGGTTTAATCCCCCAACATCTTCTCAAATGCAGACACTTGTAGATCCCTTTAATTCTGGTAGTCAGGAAGTAGAACTAAGAGGATCAGTACTACCAGGTCATCCTTGGTGCAAGTGAGTTAGAGGCTAGCCTGGGCTACTTGACAACCTGTGTCAAAAATAGTTTAATTCAGGAAGATTACTCAGCAGGTATATACACTTGCTGACAGGCTTAAGGACCTGAGTGTGATTGTAGGTTACTTAGCTCAGATCTCATATTTCTGCCTTTTGTTCTCCAGAAACCTGCCTGCAAGTCATCACATAGGCAGCCCAATGCACCTACCTATTCCTTATGGAGATAGGAAATCCCCACTGTCACCCAGGAGCCTACTCTTTCTGTTTCACCTATACAAAATCAGTTCACAGACTTAAGCTCTATTTTCAAATCCACTCACAATAGATAATTCCTCCTGCTTTATCTTCTTTAACATCTCCTCAACTCCAGTTTTGATTATTCCATGGGCATTACATAGTCACTGTGTTGTTCTTAATGCAACATGGATGATCAAAAGCCAGAGTTTTGACACTGAAGTTCATATCATGCTAAGTCAATCTTGAGAGTTACCACAAGAATTCCAGTTTCAGGCAGGGAACATTCATTACGTATATAGTATAAACCCTGCAGAAAATAAATCTTTGAACTTTATCATTACAAGTTTGAAGCCAATGATGTCTGAATTCTAGCCTCCCTATTATCTCAGGCTGTCTTCTCACCTCAGGACATTGTACTTGGTGACTGCTCCCGTATCTTTGTGCTCTACCCAGTAACCATATGGCTATTAATCACATTTCTCTAGGCTCTGCTTCAGTTAGTCAGGCTCTAGGGTTTATATTCACATTGGGGTGTAAATATGTACCTGTCTCCATCATTCAACATCCTTTTATTATCTTTCATTTTCTCTACAGCACTTGCTGCAACAGAATGTGTATTTATCTAGGTTCATTTTGTCATCCTTCCACAGTATAATGAACCTCAGGTAACAGAAAGTTCATTTGTCACCCTCTGTTCTTCTTCACTAGCACAGAGATATATCATTAGGCAATGAATGAGGGCTATGAGGAAAACACTTGGATTTTATTGTGAACATTTGTGCCAGTTGTGTAGTTCTAACTGCTCAGTGGGAAACTGAAGTCTTTCTACATTTCTAAACAGTGGGTACCAAAGTCTGGGGAGAGCACAAAAACAGTCTAATACAAACGAGGAATGTCCTTAGGATTCTACTGTGAATTAGCACAAACCCATATAGACTCACTGCACAGCAAACACCTGTCCAATTTACAGGACAGATGGGGACACCGGAGCCACAGAACTTTGTTCAAACTGACTGCAGACACAGGATGGGAAGGGGTGCGTAAAGAAATGTCCTAAAAGGGAAGCTAGAGAAACTAAACCCAGTTGAATAAACACTGTAGTCAGATTTTCTGTTGACTTGGACTATCACCCACAGGACAAACACAATGTCCCTGACAGCACACAAGATGTTCTATCCTGTCAGTTTTCCTCTCCTTCTTTCAGTTCTAGCTCCTGGATTTGTGACACAGACTCCAGTGTGATATATCTTCTGCAAGGTCTTTCCCCTGAATATGAACACAAGGGACAAGAAGGCTGTGACACAGCAAGCGTTACAAAAGGAAACCTGCCTAAATGACAGCTGTCCCCACATCCTGACAGCTCATGTCTCTCATATGGAGAGAAGATCCTTAACATTCCCAATATACAGTAAAGAAAACCACTTTCTTCAGACACAGGTTTCCACAGCCAGCAACAGCAGAATCAGCATGCAGAGACACCTCTTCTCCACAGGCCAGAGGACTCGGGATGTAAAGAATTGAACAAGTGACTCTGAACTAAGCAGCAAACCCCATACACATTGCAGTGATACTCCATTACCTGAGTCATTTTTTACAACTATTTTAGGGAGAGACAAGCCAACACAACTGGATGTGTTTTGCCAAAACTAATATCAGCATCATTTGACTTTAGGTCTACCTCAACTTGGGTAATTGTCTAAGACCATCTACAAGTCTGTCCTGCCTGTATCCCAGCAAAGCTCCTGACTTTCCAAGCTGAAGATCTCCACTCTCAAGCATGTTCCTAAACATCTTGTTACCTTTCAGCTCTTATGAGAATGAGATGGTGAGTGTTTGAAGTTAGATGTGATTGCTCCTGCCCACTTACCAGATTATCCTGTTTCTGGTGTCTGTGTTCCCTGAAGTTCAGCTGCGAAACCACGCTCCTGTGTGCTTCAGTCTCTTCACTAGCAGCCCAACCCGGCTTCTTCATGGAAAAGCAGCAGGTTCAATGCATTTCTGCCAAATTTATACACTCTCTGACATCCGTCCATTACTTCTAAGTGTGTGTTGGTCAATCACTAAATTTCATGGGTCTCGTTGTTTTTGAGAATTCTGTGCATTTCCAAGAAGAAGAAAAAGAAAATGAAACTATCAGCTATTTCTCATTCTAGTATCTCTTCATTTCTTGGCAGTGAATGCTGGACACTCCTAAAATCATCAATATGTGGAGTATGGAGTTTGGAACCTGAGTGGGGACACAGAAAAGCAGCTTACTAGATAGGCAACAAGCCAGTAAGCAGTCATCTTCCCTTGTTCCTGCTTCTGCTCCTGCTTGAGATTTCCCCCTAATATCTGTCTAAGACCAATTGTGACTAACTGTGTAAGCTCGCAAAATTCTTTTCCCCTGAAATACTTTTGGTCATGCTGTTTATCACAGCAATAGAAAGCAAACTAGGTCAGGTATCTACTAGTTCTTTTTTTTCTTTTATCATTTTTATTTTACTTTTAAATACCTTGTTTTACATGTCAATCCCAGTTCCCTCTCCCTCCCCTCCTCCCGCACTCCCCTTCCCCCCCAGCCTCCCACCCTATTGCCAATTCCTTCCACATAGGGGATATCTAGAGTCTGTCATTTCACTCTGGGTAGGGTCCAGGAACTCCTCTAAGAGTCCAGGCTGAGAGAGCATCCCTCTTTGTGCTATGGGCACACGATGACTGTTTGTATTCCAGGGATAGACACTGATCCACTGCTCAGGGCGCCATAGGTTGCCCAGGCCTTCTCGCTGACACTCACATTTGGGGGGTCCAGATCAGTCTCATGCTGGCCTCCCCGCTGTCGGTCTGGGGTCCAAGATCTCTCCCCTGTTCAGATCAGCTGTCTCTGCTGGTTTTGCCAGCCCATTCTTTGCCAATTTGCTCATCATTACTCTCTCTGTCACTGGGTTCCTTGGGTTCAGTTCAGTGCTTAATTGGGTGTTTGCCTCTGCTTCCATTAATCACTGGATGAAGGCTCCTGGATGGTTATAGACATCAAGTTCATTATCAGGAATGGGCATTCGAGGTGGTCTCTCCACTATTTCTTAGCTTGCCAATTGTGTTATCCCTTTAGATCACTAGAGGTCACTCTGGTGCCTGATCTGTCTTCTAACCTATGATTCCCTTAACTAAACCCTTAATTATGGAAAATAAAACTTAAGTAGAGTAAGGGAAATATCACCAAAAAATCTGCATAAGTCCTTTAGCCAGTACTGGCAATTATCAAAAGACATGATCAATGTTACATGATTCCATTACCGTACATGCATTTATATTTACACATACACACACTTATATTATATGTATTTTAAAGTAGTCCTATAAAATAATATATTTCCCCATGGATTTTCAAACAGCCTTAGTGTTATTTCTCTTTCAGTCTTCCTTCTTCTTCTGTATTGCCCTCATCCAAGTTAAAGTCCCCTCCTACTTTCCCCCTTTCCCTCTTCACTGCATGTGTGTGTCCTTCTGTCCTCTTCTATAGCGCTTCTGTTCTCTCCTTCCCTATGGGGCCTGTATACTTTCATTTGCTCTGTTATTACCTCAGATTACATACTCAAATCTAAAGATTCTCAGTTGGAGTCCACAATTAAGAATAAATGGTTTCTGTTTTCCTAGGTCTGGTCACATTACTCATTGTAGTTCCCATTGTATCCATGTACTAGTGAATTTATTCATTATGTTTTTCTTTAAGCTGAAAAGACTTCCAATTAATATGTTTACCACATCTGTTATTATCTATTAATTAGTTGAAGGACATTTAGCTTGTTTCCATTTTCTAGATATTGTGAATAGATCAGTAAAGAACATGGATGAGAAAGTGTGTCCTCAGTAGGATATAGACTCCTTTTAGTGTATGTCAAGGAGGAGCACAGAGGTCCACAGCAGGTCACAATGTAGAGAATGAGTGACTCTGTGATCCAGAACAACCTGCTACATCCACAGTGTTATTATCACACCCAGGGCTCAAGGAAAATCACAGAAGGGGTGATGGAAAGATTGTAAGAGTCAGGAAATAGGGACGACAGCCACATATATTTTCTTTTTGACCTGTCAAGGATGATGTATCCATGACATCTCAAGAATATGGTTGCCAAAGCAAGACTTGCATAATGACAACATCAGTTGATATATCAATGCGGATGGGGGGAGTTCCTCAGTCTCATCTCTAGATGAATAGCTCCAGCCAAAATCAATGCCTGGTGAGAAAGGGGGACTCGGTTTTCTCCAGCAACACGTCCACTGATAGCCCCAAGTGGCCAGTCCTAAACAGTCATGCATTTGAGCATCTCTAAATGGATTCAGTAGGCTGTATTGTGTGTGTGTGTGTGTGTGTGTGTGTCTGTGTGTAATAAGAGAAGAAGTGATCATAAATTTGAGAGGGAGTAGTGGAGGATACAGGGTGATTTGGAAGTGAGAGATGGAGGGGTGGAAATCACATTAGAACAGTACTTACTTTTAAATTCTGAAGAAATTAAATAAGTAACCCACCAATCTAGAGTTCCATGCAGCACCTGTTCCATGCATATGTTATAAATATATTCACTTCATTGATTCTCTTCCATCTACAGAACTCTAATTCCAAGGTGATCCATAGAGGACAAGTAATAGGAAGAAGCAAAAGTGCATACTGGGGAGGAGGAGGGAGTGAAGGAATGAATTATTGAGGATTCTGGAAACACTCTACTGAATTTTACTGAAATTTACTATTTTATATGTGCTTAGGAAGTTTTACTGGAGTTACTGTATGCAGTAATGAGTGGGTCATGCTCATTCAAGAAGTCATTGTTTATTGTATTAAAGTTCTCTAGATTCAGATAACTTATGGCATGTATCTCTCTGTATAAAGGGGATTTATTGGAATGACTAAAAGGCTGCAATCCAGGTAATCCACCAATGACCTTCTGTGAATGGAAAGTCCAAGAATCTACTTGTTGAGTCCCACAAAGCTGGTTGTCTGTATAGGCTGGAATCCCAAAGGAGTAGATTCCAATGTTAGTGAAGGAATGGATGGCTAACAAGAGGATGGCAAGCAGGTAATGAGCAAAAACTTTGTTTTTCTATGTCCTTGTAGAGGACAGAAAAAAGCATGGCCCAGATTAAAAGCTCTTGTCTTCCTACCTCAAAGTTCCAGAGTAGAAGTGAATTCACTCACTTCAAACCTAGCCTGAAAAATCTTCTGTGTCTAGATTAGCAAATGAGTGAATTTATTAGGGTGAGTGTTGCTAATGAGAATGTGGGTCACTCAGAGGTAGCTTCATTGCCAAAGAGCCCACCTCAGCAAGGCAGGGACTCTCCATAGCTGTAGTCATGGAGCTCCCTGCAAGATTCACAGGTGCCTCAGCTGCTCTGAAATCCCCATTCCTGTTGAATGCTTTTTGCTTATATAACCTTGAGGAGAGCTTTATTAACCTGTTATGTCCCTGTACTTTCTGAGACTTGTGATTTTATTTACTTCCTGAGTATTATTTCATATTCTATGTAAAATGGGTGTCTGTGTGGGTTCACATGTTTACATGTGTGTGGACATGTCAGAGTATGTTGTGCCTCCACCTTTCTACCTTTGTCAGCATGGCAGGGTCTCTCACGTGAACCCGGAGCTTGTAGATCTACACAGTCTAGGAAGCCATCTTCTCCACGGTGTCACTGTTTCTGCTTCTGAATGTGGAAGTACTAGGTGGATACAACACCAACTCAGCATTTGTGTGGGTTCTGGAATTTGAACTCTGTTCCTTATACATGTATGGCAAGTGATTTATGCACTGAGCATAGATCCCACAAGTCCCTGGATTTTCATTGAAATGTTTTGGTTGGATGGAAACTGCTACAAAACACCTATTCATAGCTTTTTTGTGTGTATGCTTCCACATGTTTAGGTGTTGTATATGGACATGTGTTCATTCGTGTGTGTGTGTGTGCGCGCGTGTGTGTGTATTCAATCATGAAGGTAGGGTTGATAGAAAGAGAGGGAGGTAGAGAGGTGAAGAGGGAATTCGGCTGTCTGAGTCTGACACATTAAGAAGAATGGTCCTTATCTTTAGGTTTTCCCATGGTGGAAGTGTATTGGCTAGTGTAAAGAAAATATACCAGAGGAGGAAATTCATCTAACTATTCCTGGTATTAACCATTTGATGCTATCATGGTCAGTAGCTGTGGGGAAGGTGAGTTCTAACTACTTTTTTGAGTATACTCTCTAAGGAGAACTTTGGCATCTTCAGTCACCATGTCAAGGAAGATGTGATGCAAGTAAAAGGTTTTCCTAAAGTAAAGACCTGCAGCCAGGAGCCCACCATTAGCTGAGGCAAATATCTCCAAATATTTCAAAAATGTTTCTCTTAATGTCTCTTCTTTCTTGGTTTCCAATAAATAAGGAGATTTAATGACTTTTTTTCAGTTTTTCAGCAGGTACTTGTGAATCCTTGGCCATGAATTTCAGGGACTTATCATCCACTCCAAAGATGATTCGATAGTCATTTAGCTTCACCTTCAGCCTCTCCGCATCATCTCTGAGAATGCCCAATACAGGAACAGTAGCCAGAAGTCCATCCATGAAGCCTTCCAACCAGATAGTCTGCTGCACAGACCTGCGTTTTCTGTCAATGGCTGCCTCTGTAATGTTCGGCAAGGAAATCATAAAATTGTGGCACTTCTGAGCAGGGAGATCCTTTACCAGGGTCTTCATCAGGCGTGGAAAATCACAGACACGCAAGTCATTGTTTGAAATCAAGAAGATCTGTGGTACATCCATGTTATTCTGTATAAAGATGTTCTCACAGTAGCTTCAGATCTTCTCCATGGTCTTTTTTCTGTCAAATGTGCGTGGTTTGGATTTCTTTTCATTGTATAAATCAACGTCTACCTTGGTTCTCACAAAGTAGTAATTCTTTTTCATGGTTGTGATTGCTTTGGCAAGGTCTAATTCGAGTTTTGTAAAACGTGTGGCAGAAACAATAACAAAGAAGTCATACTCTTGGAATTGCACTTTCTCCAGATAATCCTTCGGCGGAAACTTGATAGTTCCAATGCCAGGCAGGTCCCATAGAGTCAAAGTTTTAATTTTGGGGTGTTTGTATGGAGTTCTCTCCATAGTCGTCTCCACTACTCCAACTTCAGCTGCACCTTTGTCTTCAGCCCCAACTCCCCTCAGGGCATTGATGAAGCTGGACTTCCCTGTCCCAGACTCTCCTGTCACCTCAATGCTTATGGGGGCCTCATCAATATTTTTTAATGCCTTACTGATTAAAGAGTTTGCCCC